TGCATTTTCTGTAAAGCTGCTTTGAAACAATGTGTATTGTGAAAAGCGCTATACAAATACATTTGAATTGAATTACACTTTTGGTCCTGTGATATGGCTTTAGTGTTTTGTTTGTTTTATTCTGTCAAATAAGTTGCAATATAAATGTTTATCCATTTTGCCTATAAAATAGAAAATATCTGAAGCCATAAAAGTGTCTGTTTTCCTCAGATTACTCCAGATTATTAAAGGTGAGAGGTGAGTTGACGCACTCACAAAGCGTCTCCTGTAGCTTTAAACTGCGCCGCTCACTCGCTCAGTCAGGGAGGGCGAGAGTAGGAGCAGGAGGAGGAGGAGGAGGAGGAGTGTGAACATTGCGGAGTTCTCGGGGATTCCGAGAATATACAGTTCAGACTGAGACCCGACAGTCGGTGCTGGAGCCCGACGAGTTTTTGGACACTACTTCCATTTGGCGCGGCGCACGGATAGCGGAATCAGGTACGTGTCGAGACCACTCGATGCTGGAAGGACTCCGCTGCATATGACTGTGGTGTTTGCTCTGTGTTTATTGTGGTCCGACTCCTAGGAGGTGCTGAGGGATAAACGGAATGTGAGACGCCGTTCACACGGGACGCGTTCTTTGGTTCATAAAGAGGACGCCGTGGTTAAAAGTTTAACTGTTTTTAACTTGACACCGCGTCTTAAAAACGTAACAGCGAGACCAAAGACGAAGAGCGCATGCTGTGTGAATCGCAATGGTCGCTCCTGTCATTTAGTTTCCATTTTGTTTCTCTGTTACAGTCAGTGCGATGTTACCCTTTCATTTATCTGCTGGTTTATTTTTCATACACGAGAACTGGTTATTTATATCTCTGTGTTTCCAAGCCATATCTTTTATAATATTTTATAATTTAATATTATGTAATGGAGTGAATGTGATTTATTGTAGTGATCTTGACTCTTCCTTGCACTGATGATCCATATATATATATATATATATATATGTATGTATGTATGTATGTATGTTTTATATAACATTATTAGTATCTGCCAAAAGGTTATGCTTAAGAGCTGTCATTAGTAGTCATAAAAGTCATTAATACTCTTGGTTAATCTCTAAAGGACAAGATCTTACCTTTACCTGACGCACATTTTGGACTTTGCATTGTTTATAGTTTTCATAAGGTTTCCTGTGGCTTCAGTCAATAAAAATGGGGCCGAGGAGGTCAAGGGTTGCAGTTTAAAGGTGGTCCGAGATCAGTTAGGGTTCAGTGTTGGTTCAGGTGGCTTTGTTTGGTAAAGGAAAAGACCAGTTACTTAAAAGTGTTTGTCTTGGTCTGTGCAAAGAGCATAGATGTGCATGTGTTTTGAAGAAGTTGATTGAGAAATAAGTTATTTATTCAAGTTTTTTTATCGAAAATCTTTTACTCTCATATCATATGTCTGATATCATATCATATCAGGCATTTGTTTTGTCTGTTAGATCTACAATACAGGTGCAAAATGATTCTTGTCTCCAAATACTCTCCTGACATTGCTGACAGCACTATGTGACCTGTTATCCGGCTCTTTAAGATTGATACTGACTTGAAATGATGTTATCACTGCTAGAGAAATGAAAATGAACACATGGCGACCTAATTTCTCAGAGGAGATGTCAATACAATGAACTGAGAGTGGTTAAAACCGTGCTGGGTCATTGTTATCTCAAAATAGTATCCTAAACATCAGCCTCAACATTGTGATGTCTGTTCACCACCTTCTGGCTTAGACCTTTCTTATGATGTTTTACTTTCATCATTAAGTGGCTTTTTTTACAGTAGAACTCCAGCACATGGTTGTAGCTTGTGCAACATAAACTTGCATGGTGTAACGTGTCATAAATCCATAGAAGCCAAGGGCGCTTTACACTCATTAACAGGTCAGTTGACTGCTCAGGGACACAGTGGTTGCCTGTTTGTTCCTTGTGCAATGAATCTTGTTTTATACAGTGTATATCAATGATAATAGGTGGCCTGGAGATCAACAGGAAGCAGTGCTGTTTATACGAGAGGTTTTGTACATCAAAAGAAGGGATGGAGGTGGTTGTCTGGCTCAGGGAATTGAAATGCTGAGACAGTATGAAATACAAGGCACAGATTCTTCTCCCCTCAGCCTTAGGACAGAGGCAGGACTTTCATTTAAAGCGATGGATTGATTTTTGCTGATTGATTTACTGTAAACGATTTATAGTTTCCTGAATTTGCGGTGGATGTTTGCTGGGAGATGCAACTCCGATAAATTGAGCATCACCACATATTAGAACAACAGCAGTGACCTCAACACACCAACCAATTGACCAGCCAATGCATTTTTGGACAATTCAAATTATACACTTTATTGCCCCTTATGCATTTTGTATACACATTTTGGCATAATTAGATTATGGGCCAGTAAATTTATGCAGTACTACTACACTCTTTAACATTTGCAGATACCATCTAGATCTGGCTGTAACTAAATGTTAATCTGGCCTTGTTACCATTTAGCAGCTAACCATGAATGATTTGCAAAGAACGATGTATGAAAAGCATGTAAGTCATTTGTAAAGCCTCTAAAACAGACAAATGCTGATCCTGAGAAACATGATATCGACAACTTGTATAACAAGCAAGTTAATTTAATATAATTACCCGGCTGACCTATAACTGCCAGCTGTATTTCTGTATTGGTCGCTATGTCCTGAGGCGAGATGGACCTGGAGGTCAAGGAATCCTGGCAATTGGGTTCAGGAAGATTTTACTGCTCCTGGGGGACATTACTAATGGTATCTTATTTTAAGCAGGTTATATGCTGCGCTAAGTGAAACGCCAGTGATTCTAGAGTTGTAAGGCTTAGTCGTTTGTCTCTCTGAGCCGCGAGATGAATACATGCAGATTTCGCAGTCCAAGGCCGCAGCGTGCCAAGCTGTCCTTCACACCGTATTAGTGGCCTGTCCTTTCAGAAACCTTCAAAGTCCTGAGAAGGACACAAACCCTGCAGTAATGCTGAAGAGATGAACACTCTCAGAATGATCTGCAATCAGCACATCTGTACGACATTCGTAGAGCAGGCGTCAGGAATGATCCCGGCTTCAATTATTTCTCACATCTAAAAGCTTTCAGATCGCACAGGCCCAAGTAATTAACTGAAGAGGAGTTTTCAGAATTTATGAATGAAAGATGGATGTGTGGGTTATGAAGACTGCTGCTTGAGGTTGAACCATTTTAATAAGCTTTGTTTTGTAAGCGAGGGTTTCAAAGGCGTCAGTTAATATCTTAAGGGTTTTCAGCGATGTTATCTTGTACCATGATTCTCAGGTAAATATTACACTATA